ATATTTGAATGCCCTTTTTCCACTTTTTCATATTTCTTATAAATGATGAAGCTTAGGAATTGATTAGGAATGACCTTAATATTCCAGATATATCTAACTAGTGAAGTTTGTGGCTCTGTCACACCCATTGTCTTGATCTATCTACATATATTAATGCATGGTAAGATTTCATGAGCTCTGACAGCTGCCCCCATCACTTATTACATCATGTTGAACTGGAGGGCAAATAAAACTTTATAGATTTTAAAATTTATTGATGTTAAGCCGTGCCAAGTCACCCTCCTACTCTGCAGTAAACACTTTTGTTGTGAATGCAGGTCTTTTCCTTTTCTCTGTCATCTCATCTTATTACTGTTGACCCGCCATTCCAGACTGCCAAGACCTTTTTGAAGCTGGATCTGTCATTCAGTGTAATAATCGAGCTTTGATTCAACTGCACATTTGAAAACTATGCTTTGCTTTCTGTCTTAGTCTTTCTACATCCATGGAGGAAATATCATCCAGGCCAGGGTCAAGCATACAGAGAATGTCACCTAGTTGACATCTGTATCTGTCACAACTCTGAACTTCTCCAAGTGCCTCTAACTGAAAATTCCTTTCTGGAATGAAGAGGAAGTGTCCCAACTTGTCATTTTGGCAAATTACTGCTAATTTGCACTAGTCCAAGTAAAACAAATGAACAAATCAAACTAGAGGTTCTTACATTATGCTACAACTTGCAAAGAAACAGTAAGAATAAGAGTATTTTTTTCTAGAATCAATAGAGAATAATCCACTTTTGAATAAGGAAAACATCCAGAAACTTTTAAAACCCCAAATCACTAATTCCCCTCTAACATATAATTCCACACAAAATGCTTGCTACAATGAGTGGAGATAAATTAAACTGCACAGCTAAGGACACTGGGATTTCATAGCTAAGACAGTCACTCCCACGCCCTACATTTGTATCCATTTGTACATCAACCCTACATTTGTATCCTTCAAATCCAAGCCTCAGTGACACACAAATTCTACCGTCCTGTTCTTTCAGAGGCTCTTGCAGAGTCAAACCCAAATAAATGTGAAATCTCAGCATGCCAAGATATACACATAACTGCAGCCACCTTTCTCCTGAGGATCTGTGCCAGTGAGATAAGCGCACCATGTTCTCAGAAGTAGCAGAAAGTAGCATTTTCACTGCCTTTATATTTGTGTAACCACAGAAAACATTTTCTCCCTTTTTGAGTAAGTTATCTGTGGTATGTATTGTCCTTCCTTGTTCACTGAATGGGAGGTTTTCACTCGGCATCTAGAAACATTATTTTCTCCTAGGGCTGCTACCCTCTGTCCTAGGTTTGTCTTGTAACTTCTCATTTATACAGTACACTGAAAAGACAAAGCCATCATTTCTGCCCTTTCTCCGCTTCAGTGGAGAAAGACAGTTCAGTATGATAACCTAAAACTCGAGGGACCCTTAAGATTTCTTCATAAACAAACTCATTTTTTTTCATCCATCATGCCCCAGAGGCCTACAAAGTAACGCTTTAGTAATAAAAACATGGTTTCCGATAAAATTATAGTAAGTTCAAGGGCAGTTTATGCCTTCATAGCCTAACTCTAGTTTTCTTCTTCCATGAAGCCATCCAGACCCTCTAAAAAGTTCCAACTATATGATGCCCAGCCACAGTCTTCTGTCCTAGGGTTTCCTAAATCCTAGTCCATGGAACACTTCTTTTGCCAAGCACCTCAGTAGGTATCCGATAGCTAAATAACCTTAAGAACTAGATATATTAGTGCAAGGTTAAACAGATGTCCTTATCACAGAGGGACTCGGAATCTGTAATATGCTAATAAGCACTGTGAATGGTTAAAAGTACAACTTCATCTTCTAATCTCTCTAAGCCTCTGCTGCCCACAGGCAGGTGTGGTGATGAGAGCAGAGTAACAGTGTCTTAATTCTTCTTCAGTAGTGCTAGCATTCCTAGGGATTCTCCTGTTTGGTGAGACTGTCCTCTTTCTCTGGTTCACTGTAGTGAATTAGCTAGTGGCTTCAGAAGCTACAAATAGTATTATCTATTTCAAGTCATTTTCTTAATACCTGCAATTGATTAGTGAAGTCACTTAGTTACATTTCCTACTAGAATATCATCCCTTTGAAAATACTTCTGGGTCTCTTTAGCTTCATAAACTTGGCATCCAGCACAAGGTCTGGCCCATGATATTGGTTTAATGGATATTTATTAAAGAAGACTGGGAGAAGGAAGAGACAGGCAGGCAGACTCCCACCACTGACACTGCGAGGGTGAGGCACGGGTGCACGGCCCTACCCCACAAATCATCCCTATGATTAATGTCATCCATGCCACGATACATACACAGCTAAAGAACAGTTTTTGAAAGAGGAAATAGTGACACTAATATGGTTATAATCTTTGTCCAAAATATTATTTAGCTCATCAATTAATAAGGGGACCAGTAAGAACTGGCTTAAAAGAGAATTCCAAGAACCACCCATAAAGACAAAACTAAGGTAAATTTACATATAGAGGCAAAACAGATCTACCCACAGAACATTAGGTAGGTGCATCCTACCAGAAATAATTTACATTTCTAGGGATAGCAGTCATTTACATTACTCTTTCTTCTTTTTTTTTTTTTTTTTACAAGTTATGGTTTTCAATAGCTCAAAGACAATGAAAATCGAAGGTAACATAGATGGGAACACTGGACAGACACCATTCTTCTGATTCATCATTTCAGTCTTTGACAACTTTTCCTGAAAGCTTTCACCAGTCCCAAAAGATGACAAAACGTTTTAGCAATTTCTTGAACTCATATTATTATAATCTTCCAGCATGCTGTGGTCAGACTTGATAAGAGGTTTGTCAAACACTGAGTGGGAGAATGGGTTCCCTTGCAGAGCACCAGCTATTCTTGGTGCAGTGCATCCCATTTTTCTTTACTCTCAAAATGGATTATTTCATCTGATGTCTCCTTGGTTCAGCATGGAAACAAGGAATCACCCCCGCATTCTTCTAGAAGAAATGGTCAGCCCAAGCTAAACATGGCCCTCTTTTACATTAATATTTTCCTTCCTTAATTAATGTATTATGTTTCCTGAAGAAAGGAACTCTCATTCTTTTTCATTGACCGAGGCACTCGAAACAATGCTGGACTCTTAGTCTTTAATAAATACTTCCTACATGTGAATATATTTTAACATTTTATAAGAAGACAACATTTTTATTTAAAATAAAAATGAAGGGCCTCCCCGGTGGCGCAGCGGTTGAGCGCTGGGTTGGAAGCTGCCCGTGGCCTCAGCGGCGCCGGTTCGATCCCCGGCTGCTCCCCGGCCACCAGAGGAGGGTCCCACATGGCGCGCAGACCTCTCCTGCCGCCCGCTGCTCCCCTCAGCAGTGTACTTCGGTCCTTCTGCCTGTTCTGCTCCCTGCTCTGGCTCTGGTGAATTCTCTCACCCTCCCGCGCTTCTGACTGTACCCAGTGCATGTATAAACAAAACAAACAAACAAATAAATAAGTAACATGCCCCTATCAAAAAAAATAAATAAAAATAAAAATGAATAACTAAGTATGATATGTTATCTCCAGTGCAAGAAAGGACTTTTCCCATTGTTCTCTGCCTCCTCTTCACAACCACACATAGATGAACAACTTGTTTTCACAGGCACCCATCTAAAACCAAAAACTGTTCTTACCAGAATCAGTAAATGAAAGTTTTAAGGGGCCATAACTTTTTCGCCTGGGAGAGGGTGTCTGCAGTTGTGACACTCTTTCTTCAGATTATATCCCCACTGCCTACTTTCTGTGGTCTATACTCATTCTTTACATTGTACTGTTGGTGCTCAGATGCCTACAAATGCCCGGAGCATTTTTCTCATCTTCCCTTGAACAGGGGCAAAATTGGGATTGTTATTATTTTTTAAATCATTGAATTGTTTAAATAAAATTAAAAAACTGTAAAAAATAAATAAATAAATCATTGAATTGTTTTATCTCAGAAATAGTTAAGGAGTGGGATAGAAACATGACACAGATCCTTTTAGGAGAGTATCAGAATCAATTGTTAAGTTTTTTGAAAATATTTCATTTTGTCAGAATTACAGATTATAATGAGCCGGGTTGTACTATGTAGTTTAGCATTGCTGATACAGCGAAAAAGAACCATTTATTTCAGCTTAACAGGATAGCTATATTATCACCTATACATGGTTAGGAAAAAAATCTTTGGTTCTATTCCTTAACTCTAGATATCTGCCTTCCAAAGAGATGTTTATGTATAATATTTGTAGCATGTAAAAAACACTAACATCCTTCAATGATCACAATCATTGCCAAAGAGCATCTATCTTGTTTTTTTACCTATATTTGATGTTTTCACTTTGTTAGATGACTATAGCAGAAAAAAAGTGGAAAAAATTCCTGTATTTTAGTAAATGTATTAGACACAAGTTGCATTGAATGTTTGATTTCTAAGGACCACTGTGCACCTTCAGGCTGCATATAGAATTTCACACTTGTGCCAGAAAATTGGTAACCACGAGCTACCTTCCTTATTCGTTTTCAACAATCCTGAGTTGTTGTTTTTTTTTTTTTTTTGTTTTGTTTTTTTTTGTTTTTGTTTTCAGAAAACAGAAGTCAATAACCAAGTTGACAATTATTAACTAAGCCTGTCATTCTACAAGCATTCTGACCACTGCCTTTTCATCATTCCATTTGCTTAACTACAATTAGAAAGTAAAGTCTTAAGTTTCAAGGACCTGGGTCTGTGATCTGGGTCTGTGATGCTGAGCACAAATTCAGAGAGATTTGGGCATGAGGGGGCTGAGCTAGATGATGTCTTAGCAGTGAGCACGTAGCAGGCACTATTTCTTTGTATTTATCGCACACTGATCATATTGTAATAGTCCCCTTGAACTTCACTATTACAATTATAAAATCTCCTCTCTAGTATTTCTTTCTAAATTCCTCTCCTTATGTTACTGTATTTTTCTTTCTAGCAATATTTTCATGCAGGAGGAAATGGCCTGAAAAAGAACTTCTTGGAAAAAAGCCCAGATCTTCAGTCTCTGAAATATGCTCTCAGTCTTTATACCCAAACTACTGATGCCTTGATAAAGAAATTCATAGACACTCAAACCACACAGAGTAAGTAACACATTAGATGTTAAAGTGAATACTTAAGTAAAAGTCAAAATAATTATTGAACTATTAGTATTTACTATAGTAAATTAAAGCATCAATAAGAATGAGGATTATGTAATAATGGAATAGAAAATTACCAATTTTTTAGCATTCGTGATGTAATTATATAATTTCAAAAACACTAGGGCATGACTAATACTAAAAGTCTATAGAATTGTGAATCCTGTTGGTGATTCTAATATCATAATATCCAGTAAACCTATTTTTTGAATATCCATGACCATGATATTCTCAACTCAATACAAAAGATTCTGTGTTTGCTGATTTTGCTAACTTCTAAAAATATTACAATTCCTGAAATCCTGACTTCAAATGTAAAACCTTCTACTCTGTGGTTTCCAGAAGAGAAATCTCACTTTACCCTAATTTTATATGAGAAAAATATCAGCGTTCACCTTGAAATGGACCAAGAAGGTAGTATTTTTGACTGTATTTCATGTGGAAAAGTTAGCACCACCTAAGATTCTAGGATATTACTATTAGAAAATCTTTTCTTCACATTGCTTTTTGATTGATTATATTTTGGTAATTATATGCATTTATGATCTAACATTTCTGAGAGATTATTGAAAATGTTAGTATAAGTCAAAAAGAACCAAACAGAGGCTCAAATTCTAGAACATAATAAACTGCAGCATAGAAAGAGTAAAAATAAATAAGAGGATGCTGTCTTCATTCATGAAGAGAACCTTGGAAAGCATACATATTTTGCTTTTCCTGGGATGGGAATGCCTTAGGCTTGTCTGTTTCTTCATGGATTTCTTTAATTTTTCTAACTATATCAGAGATGCAAAGGTAGGTAGGAGGTAGGAGGTATTAGGCCTGTGTTTAACATTTTGTGCTTTTTAGTACCATACAGTTGAATGCTAGAAATAGTCCTTTTAATGTGATTTGCAAACTCAGGTTACCTTTTCAGATGGTTCCAGAAAGTAGAAAAGAGTTGAGCTTATGAAACGTTGTTAAGAGATACATTATTCTAAAGCATTATTCCTGGAATCCATGATTCCTCAAGGTTTTTGGAACATTTATAAATGTGAATGCAATTGTAAGGCATCATATAGTATATCTATTCTCTGAAAATGTGAGTATGTGAAAACTTTTGCTTTTATAGGTATGCATTTATAACTATACACAGTCTGTTTTAGCATATATGTTACTGAAAAACAACCTATTATATCTATTTTGGTATATGGGGTTGGGCAAATATACTTTCTAGTGTGTGTATTCTATAGCAACACTGAAAACATTTGGAGGGAAGAAAAATAAAAGGATCTGTAATCCCAGTAACTTAATTATCATTCTTCATCTAATGTTTTTTGAATAATTGAAAGTGTCTGGAAATAGATTTGAAATAACTTTACGTTTTCTTCAGTAGCTACTTTCAACCATGCCTATGGAAACTTATTTTCAACTTCTGCCTATCCACCTCATCATCCCCAGCTGCCTCCAGCCAGGCCTTATTGGTCCAAAGGACCTGAGGTTGAAAGGACCTTTGCCCCCCCTTCACATCCTTTAGGTCCTTCTCTGTTTCAGTGTCTTAGTTGTGAAAACTAAAGGGGAGGAGGCAAGTGTCTCCCCTGTGCCCTGCATGGTTATATCTAAATGTTGGCTTACTGTGGGGCCCATTGTCAGGGGCTCTTCTCTCTGTTCAACTTCCTGATAATTGGGATCTAAGTCAGTTCCCTTCAAAAACCCCTCAGTGACTGCCTCCTGCAACACATACAATGATTCATTGTTCCTTGAATGTCGGCTGCCTAGTGGCCAGCCCTCCGGAATAGGGTCCCAGGACAAAGACCGAAGCCCAACTTCGTTCCATGGGGTCCACTTGAACCACAGAAAATCCATATGTTCTTTCCACATCTTTGGTAACTATGAAGTGTGGAAGCTTCTCTACTGCTACCTACGATCTCTCTATAGTTCTCTCATTCACTTGCTCACTCAGGTTTTTATATTTCCAAATGAGGGGAGAGGGGAAGGGTGGAATTCTACTGACTAATAAAGCATGATCATTATTTAATTAAAAATGGAGGCAAGCTAAAGTTTTATCAATTAACAAATCAAATCAGGATTTCTGAGTTTATATTCACTTCTTCTCTTCTAATTCTGTCACAGTAAGGGAACACTACATCAGCAAAACACAACACTCATCAATAGAGACTTACCAGATGAAAGAGCCAAAATATATTAGGCAACTACTACTAACTCTGAAAACAGACATTGGAAAAAACACAGTTGTAGTAGAGGACTTTAACACCCTATTTTCACCTCTGGACACATCTACACAGAAAATAGGGATAAAATAGCCTTAAACAAAAATCAATTAGATAACATGGGTCTAATTGATATATAGAGAGCACTGCACCCCCCAAAACCTGAATATACATTCTTCTCCAATGTGCAAGGGACATTCTCCAAGATTGACCATATATTGGGTCACAACACAAGTATCAGAAAATTCAAAAAGATCTATTAATAAATCATACCAAGTGTCTTCTCTGACCATAAAGGTATCAAATTAGAAACCCAACACAAAAAGAAAATGGGTAAAACCTCCAGTACATGGACATTTAACATCACACACTGAAAGACTACTGGGTTAATAAGAAAATCAGGGAGGAATTTTTTTTAAAACAATCTTGAAACAAATGACAACACTGCCTTCCAGAATTAAGGCATACAGCAAAAGTGATGAGAGGAAAATATAGCAATACGGGCCCACATCAAGAAAGAACTCAAATAATGTCCTTTTCTCTCAATTTGATGAATTATAAAAAGAACAAGCCCAAAAGCCAACAAAAGGAAATAATAAAAATTAGAGCAGAAACTAATGAATTAGAAATTAAAAGGGCAGTCTAAAAGATTGATGAAATGAAAAGCTGGTTCTTTGAAAAAATACAAAATAGACAAACCTCTAAGAAATAAAGGGAGAAAACCCAAATAGGATCAGAAAAGAAAAAAAATTACAACAGATACAGCAGAAATTCAGAAGGTACTAAGAGAGTATTATGAACTTTTATATATTAAAAGGTTCAGTAACCTAGAAGAGATGGGCACATATTTAGAACTATATACTCATCCAAGACTGAATAGGGAAGAAATGAAAAGTCTGAATAAACCAACCACAACCCCATCTCAGTTCTTATTACCACTGATTAGTTAGTCAACAACTATCCTTTAAAAAAAATAGTGACAGAAAGAAATGAAAATTAGCTATTAGATTTCTGACACCCCTCACCCCGACAAATACAATAGCGGGTATTGACCCTAAAGTCAACACTTGAATTTTTATTTTTTAAATGTCCCCATCCAGCCCATTTTCCCTTTGGCATCAAAGGAACCTCATATTGTTTAACTGACAGAGAAATACAGAAAAGATGAATTCTTAAGGGCCTGACATAGATGGCAATTCTATACTATTCTATGAACCTTTGACACTGGACATGCTATCAATAAAAGAGAGGAATTTGGTTCTGCCCCTTGGATCCTTTGGTACTCTTTCCTGCAGATTTCCAATTGATGGTGGGATTAGTTGTGTTCCTTTTGTACCTCTTAAATACTGGTAGCATGAAGAGTTGAAGTGACTGAATAAATTTTCACATTTTAGCATTGTTCCAATTATCTAGATACTTTTCTAGAACTCAGCACAATATCACATATCCATAAATATATGCTTAATTTTTGTTTAACTTGCATTTTGTTAATCTAATGTAGAAAGACCATATGGTTTTATGATTTCTTTTAAATATAAAATTTGAAATGCAAGCCAACAGTGTAGATCCTAAACCCCTGCCAATTTCTGCCTCTACATAGAGCTTGCTTATTGCTACTAAGGGTAAACTGGGGCATCAGAGAATTAATGCCCTTAGGATCAGTCCTCAACCTGTGAAAGACAGGAAATTAGCAGATTAAAAAAAAAAAGAAAAGCAAAATTTCAGCTTCCTCAGTTGTGACAACTCTGACAAGTGTCCATGGGGCCTGTAGCGTTCTCCTGTGGGATGGAGTTCCCATCCCCCTCAGAGGGCTGGTTTGTTAACTTTAATTTCTTTACTTTTTGCTTTTCTCACCTCCTCTCTCACCATAGTTTCCTAGGACTTCAAGTAACCCATTCACACTTGATGTTTGTCTCAGATTCTACTTCTTGAGGAACCCATACACAAAGTCTATTGCTAGGAAGTGGGGAGTCATTCTAATTCACCTAGTCTAGATCTAGGCTCTATGCTCTTACCCATCTTGTACACATCTTCACACATCTTTTTGATAATATGTATAAAGGATAATGCCCTGAATGACTATTATGAAATTCACCTTATAAATAAGATTATCCAGGAAAAAATTACATTTTCATTTGCCTTATGATTAATAAGACACAAGGTGAATTTTGTCTCCTTAATATCTTATATTCTACAAGAAAACTGTTTCAAACTACAATAAATCACTATTTAAGAGCTTTCTTGTTAATCTATGTGTTGTGCAAAAAAAAATTGGGATCCTTCAGAAATCCAAGAATGCTTTTTTAAAAGGTCATATTTTCAGTTCTGTTATTCTCATACATTCTTACCTATTTTATTCTTTCCCTTTCATTTGTTATTTTTTCTCATCTGTTTTTTTTGTTTTTTCCTTGTTACAAAATTAACTGCAATACTAAATTTAGGGGGGAGGAGTCACATTATCTTTCTATTATCTCCAAACTGAAAGATATACTTTCCTTTATTATTTATATTTTAATTTAGCTATTTTTATAAATTGGTTTATTATTATTTTTAAAAAACTATTGTATCATCCTCATTTGTCCTTTCTTTTCTTGCCCTTCTTCCTGATTTCTATTTTTACCTCGTTTTTTTCCTCTATTCTTTTTTCTGGAATAGATTTAGATGTTTTCTTTTCATAGTTGTTAAAAAAAAATGAAAGCTACCAGAGATTGAGTCCCATTAGAAATTTATGAA